TCAATTTTAATAAGGATAGGTACTAATTTTAATATTAGTTCATCTATGGCTATAGTTCGCTGACGCAGAATTTCCAGACATGTGTATAAGCTTGGTGTGTATTTGGCGAGAAGCAATTTAGGTTCTATGTATTTTTCATGCAATGTATAATCAACCTTGACAATGTTTGTTATTTAACAAATAAACAAAGTTTTACCGCGTTAGATAATTTAAATACCGTACTTAAAGATTAAAAGTATACAAACATTAGTATTAACGGGTACCCCAAAAAAGGCCTGTCGGTGCAATCGTAGGTACTAATCCCTGACCATAGGTGCAATCGGGCAACTACAGGAGGAATAGTACACTTACTATATATTGTTAAATGAAAGCAATACAGATTACGTTAACTGCGTGTTTTATTGATTTGGCGAATAAACCCATCCTGACCTTTTTACTGACACAATTCTTTATATGGAGCTTTAATTATATGTTGTAATTGATAATTGATAATAATAATTGTATTGCTGAATTTTAAATGTACAATTATTAAGGGGTTTCGAAATTATATCACTCTTCTTTTCAGTTGGACAAAATATTTCATATTGTAGGGTGTAATATTAAATTTGTTCTTTACTGAAGTAGAGTTATTATTTCGACGCCACCATATGTGAGTATTTTAAGGAAAAGATGAGGGAACAAATATATACAATACAATTGACTAGTCAATGACAATACATGCTCATATCCTGCGTACAGTCGGGAAACGGTCCTTACTAGACCTAGACAATTTGAATAGTACAGTACTGAATATACATAATATACTGAATAGTACAGAAAAGTACAGTACGCCGTTGGGAGGCTCACGCTCACATCGTTGGGTGAGCTTTTATGATATCAATGGTATTTCCGCTCGGGCATTGTATAGTGCTGGAGAGATAGACAGCAATTGAGATAAGGCTTGTTTGAGTTGTTTCGGCTTCTCTAATGTATAAAATGTACAAATAATCAAAAATATATAATTCTGAGCAATGTACAGACTAAACTCTAATTTTATTTATGAAGATTTATTGTTTGTTTAGGCCTACTCTATTACCTTTGACTCACGATATTTAATAGTGCTTTGAAATAATAAGCGCTTCTTGTAAAAATATTTTAGCATTTTTTGGACCCGGCCTTATTTTTTTGTGTTTTCCACTAATGTTTCCCGAATTAAAGCTGTTACCAGCAGTAAACATTTCTTGCGCGTATTTATTTGATCTGACTTTAGGTAGGTTTACTAAAGATTACCTTGGTGACAGATTGTTACCACTGTGACAACATGATGTGTATATTAATCTTCATGGTTTTTTTAAGTTGCTTAATATATCTGGCAAAAATTATTCATCTCCCGAAGTATGATTGTGTACCTGGATTTACTGTGAGACCAGGCATCTCCTCTACTCATCTAATACGTATAATATTTCCTATTAATTGTCTCCTCCTCCTGTTTTCAATATTTCTCCTTTAAACCCCAGAAATTTTCTGTTCTTCCAGCAAAACTGATTGACTGTTTAGATTCGTCTATAACCGCAATCAAGAATCAAGAACTTTTATTTCCACAAAATGGCATTTTGAAAATGCAGTTATATTACTGGAAAACGTCAGTACAACTACAGCTAAAATAAAAACTAAAATAAGATAATGGTACAAGGTTTCTTACCAATATCCTATCCTATACATACTCTAATATGAACAATGTTTGCTTGTATGTATGTATACATGTATGCTTGCACCAAGATCTCAAAAACGGCTCCGACGATTTTCTTCAAATGTTGTAAATAGTTTATTACTGGCCTAAAAACGAGTTTACTGCAGTTAGAACTGCCAACAAAAATCTAACTACGTAGAAAAATGAAACTGAAAAATCACATTTTTTTAACATTAGTCTTATGGGTTGCTTAGTAACCATCTTGGCTGAATTAAATAACAAGGAAAAAGTAAACAAAAGACTTGTAAGTAGTCTATCCACAGTACTAGCAATTACAAAATACAATAAAAAAGGAAAAACATCAGTTGTTACTATTAAGCAAAGATTATACTGAAGATTACTCGATACATTGTAGTCAAGGGTAGCAGTGTGGAGTGTGAGATCTGTTTATGACGATTAGATTGTGGTATCTGCAATCATTAAATGCTATGGAAAGGGAGGGAAACAGGTCAGCGACTAGGAAGTGGTGAAGGAAATAGTAAAGGCGAGCAGTCCGGAGTGTGGGAACTGTTTATGACGATTAGATTAAGGTATCTTCAATCCTCAAATGCTATGGTAAGGGAGGGAAACAGGTCCGCGACGTAGGAAGTGGTGAAGGAAGTAGTCTAGGTGAGCAGTCCGGAGTGTGGGAACCGTTTATGACGATTATATTAAGGTATCTGCAATCCTAAAATGCTATGTAGAAAAGGTGAGCAGTGTGGAGTGTGGGAACTGGAAACAGTTTGTAGCAGTTAGAATAATGTATTTGCAATACTGAAATGCTATGAGAAGGGATGGAAACATGTCCACGACACAGGAAATTGTGAAAGAATTAGTAAAGGCTAGCAGTGCAGAGTGTCTGGGAATGGATTCATATCTGCAATACTAAGACTGCTTTTATAGTAAACTAATGATTTTCCCCGAACGGTCTCCAACAAATATTCTTCACATTTAAAGTAATTCAATCAGCTGATTTATTTATAAGGATTCTTCTAAACAAACTGGAAGTGTGGAGAATCTTCTTTTGTAAAGTAGCTCAAGAGTAATATTTATAAAATTTATTTATTACTATTCCATATTATTCTATAGACTACTAGCTGTTGTACCCGTGCTTTGCAACGGGAAGAGGATACAGAACAGAAACATTTTAATCTTTACATCTGTTGCATATAATAGTTACACATCCCCCAACGCTTTTAGAAACAAAATTCAACGTTTAGAAACATTTAAGTTATGACTTTTAAATCTGGTAAGTAGTGGATACCACCATTTTGGTTTTGATTAATTTTAAATCTTGTGTTGGCTGATATGCGGAAAACTGACCAAATCCTCGAATAAAACTTTGACATACATTATTTACCTTCATCTCCTTTAGTTACATATATCTTTTAATTTATTATTGACATTTTCAACAAAAAAACTAATTATTGGATTTAAATGACAATTTTTTAAAATTTAACTCTTCTTTATATTAGTCTATATTAAGTTGGTATCAATATCGTTGCTTGAAATCGAGCAATTGCTAAGTATTACAGGCGTTATTTTAAAACGAATAACAGTCATATTTTTTTATGACTATAAAAGATTCGACTCAAAGATTATGGAATACTCAAGATGTACATAACAGATCGATATAATCAACATTTCTTGGAAATATCTTATCATTTGTCAAAAGCTGATTTTGTTTTTTAGTGTTTATAACACACATTATTTCTATTACTTCCCCTTGGTGGTGTTCTATGATTTTCCTATGTTTCCATAGTTTGCAAATCGTCTCTTTTAATGATTACTAAGAAATGCAGCACAGTGTTAATTCAGTTTTCTTTTTAGTATATCAATTTAATCAGACTCTCTCGTTTTTTCCCATTGTAATAATTACGCCAACCCAAATAGTAACTATTTCATTTCAACCGAGTAAGTAAATGTTTGTGGCAAACTAACTGTTAAATTAGCAAACTTATTGCCTGTTTACAATTAACATATGTTCTTCTTCTCACTTTTAATTTCTGGTTGTTTACATTTAAATGTCAAAGCAAATGTAAACATTGTGAATTTTCTCATGCTATTTCTACAACAGCTGGAGTTTCAAAACAATGTTTGTTTCCCATGTTAATCTTATGGAGAAATACAAAACTTTAAAGGGCCCCAGGGCCTCACTCTCTAATTATTTCCCTAAAAAGAAAGTTTCCTGCACAACTTCACGTTACGCTCTTTCCAATGACACCAAGAACATGTAAATCGGTTCAGTAGTTTCGGAGGAGTAATTGTCACAAAAAACCTGCTTGCGTATTAAATAAGTACTAGTGTCCCTGTTGCTCGAATTCGAGCAATTGCCAAGAATTACAGGCATTATTGTAAAACGAATAATAGTCATAATTTCTGATGACTTTAAAAAATTCGACTCAAAGATTATGGAAATACTCAAATGTTCATAACAGATGGATATAATCAAAATTTCTTGTAAATATCTTATCATTTTTCAAAAGCTGATCTTGTTTTTTAGTGTTTTCTACAATTAGGAAATTAAAAAATCAAAAAACATTATTTCTAATTCTTCTCCTTAGTGGTGTTTTATGACTTTCCTATGTTTCCATGATTTGCAAATTGGCTCTTTCAACGATTACTAAAAAATGCAGCACAGTGTTAATGCAGTTTTTTTTTTAATATCAATTTATCCAGGCTCTCTCACTTTTTTCCACTGTAATATTTACGCTAACCCAAACTCAAATAGTAAATATTTCATTTCAACGAAGTCAGTAAATATTTGTAGCAAACTGTTAAATTAGCAAAATTATCGACTTTTTACAATTAAAATATATGTTCTTCTTCTCACTTTTAATTTCGTACAACAGCTGGAGTTTCATAACAATTTTTGTTTCCCATGTTAATCTTATGGAGAAATATGAAACTTAAAAGGGCCCCAGTGCCTCACTCTCTAATTATTTCCCTAAAAAGAAAGTTTCCTGCACAACTTCACGTTACGCTCTTTCCAATGACACCAAAAACATGTCAATCGGTTCAGTAGTTTCGGAGGAGTAATTGTCACAAAAAACCTGCTTGCGTATTAAATAAGTATAGATAGATATAGATATAGATAGATAGATATAGATAGACTTTAAAAAATTAGGAACATCAATCTCCTTAAAACCAAATCACCACAAATCCTTCAACCACTCAAAAGTCACAATACAATAAATCATTAATAAAAACACAAACATCAGCTGTTATAAACTTTAGAATATTGTTATGCCTTATCAATAGTGTTTCATCAGAATATATAAAAAAAACAACATTTAATTTCATATAATTTTATTCATTTCAGTACATCAATACAGAAATAGCGATCTATACTATATAAAGTTGGAAATGATTAATTTACCAAATATCGAAATATAAGAAGGTTTCAATTCAACTGACTTATACGATCCCCGCCCATAGATAGAACAGGCACCCTGCTAGTTAAATATCAAGATATCTCTTTTCACCCAAGACAAGGTCCATTAGTGGAAGTAGGCTAATCATTTTAACAAACATAATAAACAGTTTTGTTTTTTACCAGGCAGAAGTACAAACAAATATTAAAAATTTAAGAAAACATCTTTATAAAAATAATAAAATTTTCTTAATTAAATAATCTAAATGAGAAAAAATTTAAATAAAAGTATACTGGTATTCAAAATAAATATTAAACTAATCATTATAATGAATCTAAACTGATTTGTCTTCACTTCTTCAGCCTTCTCTCCCCCAACCTCCATGCCTCCATTGCCATCCACCCTGTCATCAGGCCTGGAATATAACAGAACAAAAATTAATACAGTCTAACCTTGATATAACGAACCTCAATATAACGAATTCCTTAATAAAACAAATTTTTTTTAATCCCCTAGAACTCTCCATTAGACACAATGTATATTTTACCTCTACATAACGAACAAACCATAACAACAACGATTTTGATGAAATTTGGCACAAACGTGTAAACCTACGATTATTTGAACGAGTTCGCGATCCAGCATGATCGGACCATGGGAACGGGGGTTTACGGGGGGTTTTATGGGGTAAAAATAGGTTTTTCCCATTTTTGACCCAAAAAACATAAAAATTAGCAATTTCTTTCCAAACCATTTTGTAGAGCTTAAAAAAACAAATAACTTAGTATATTGAAGCGTTATTATGCGCCTTATGGTTACGGAGGAAATTCCAAAAAATTGTAAATTTAAAATTCCCATGTTATTCTTATGGAGAATAAGTAAACTGTTGTAGTTTGCTTGTTTATGAACATATTTTTATCAAATTTGGAAAATGTTTTTATTTTTTACTAACTATTAACGTTTTACAAAAAAACAGTTTTACCCTCCCTGATGCAGCAAACCTAAGTACTTGTTAAACTAATTCTATTTAAATCGGGAATAAATGTTATATTTGTAAGTAGACATTTCAGTGTAAATCAAATCAGTCAAATGGAAATTCGCTTAGTCTGCAGGTTTGCTGCAGTGGGGGTATTTTATTGTTGTTTTTAAATTGAAATATTTGTATATCAGCTTAGAATTAGGAAATTTAACGTCATCAAACAATGTTTATGTCGAGGGTAGGTTAAGTTAAGAGGAACTTGGTTGAAAATATACATATCATGACCATGAAACGCTCATAAAAAGTAATTCATTGAATAGAATGTGAAATTTACAGAAAGTGTCAAAAGTTATAATATAGATAGGTAGTAGCTACCTCTGGATTAGAAAACATCATAACTAATCTATGGGTAGTAATATGAAATTAGGATTTAAAAATTTGTGAAAAGGCAAATGGTGTAAACAATATTTCTCTCAAAATGGCAAAAATATACATGTTTGTCAATTATCTCCTTGAGAAAAAGTTTCAATTTTTAAGGTGTGTACCCTACTCTTAACACATGTTAATTGTTCAAAAATTTTAAAATGATTCAAGTAAATGTGAACTTTATAATTTCACTATTTTTTACACCAAAATCTTTCAATACAATTATTCACATTAGCGAAATTTTTAATAATTAATTAGGGTTAGATACAACAACAGATATACAATCTCACTTATTTCATAAAATCAATAATCAATGAACCATCAAATATAAGAATAAATAAACATGTCACATTTTATTTATATTCGTTACAGACAGTTAATGAATCTAATCAAAAGAATAGTCCCTGCTCGTATTGATTCATTGTACTTGTTTACTGCCGATGAAATAACCAATATTTATACAATCAATATTCAAAAGTAGGCCTAAAAAGCAGATATTCTGATAATGTCTTTGAATATTAGCTTTGTATTCTACAAGCAGAAAGACAACAATTAACGTGCGGGAGACTACCTGACTGAGGGTAGAACGAAACTTGTTCGCAAACGGGACTCCTTCCCAGGTACCTCACCCCACAGCCAAAAATTTGTTTGCAAACGGGACTGTTCGCAAACGGGACGACACCATTCCCACCACCCTCCAACACTCACTCACTTGACAGGGTGGCAAAGAAAACCGTCGAATAATTTTGTTTGTCAAACGCCCTGAATGACCTTTTTTATTTCTTAAGATAACAAATTGACCTGGTGGGCAACGTTTTATGTCAAATGATGAGGTCATCACTGAAAAAGAAGAGTATTTTGAAGGCTTTTCATGTTTGTAGGGTGCTATTTATTTGGACAGCATTTGAAGGAGGTTTTGCGGAACTTTAAGATAAGTGTATAGAGCTAAATAAAAGGAGATTATAACAAAATAAATCAAATTTATCACAAAAAATTGTGTTATTATATATTTTTCTAAGGTCTTATTGAACCACGCTCGTACTAAATACCTTATTGATGTATGAGAATTTTTCTACTTGTTTCAACTGCTTCTGTTGACAGGGCTTTTCCATTTGTCTTAAAATTATTGCTGTTTCAGTACTAACCAAATGTAAACACAATGACATATTCAAAATAATTATAATTACTGTATGGTGTAAAAAATATAGCCTACATTTCCTAAAAAACAAAAGCAAATTTTTGGGCACCTCTCCAGTTAAAATGCTGGTTAACACATTCGCTGCGGCACGTCAAAGGGCGGGCGTAACCCAGTGCGGCGCAGCCCTCAGCGTCGAACAAACCCGATTGCCGCGAGTGATTGGCTTTCCAATTTCGGTCTGAAGAATAGCAAAGAACGTGCGGCGATGTCCTGCTTTACAAGAGTCGACGTAGTTCGTTAAACACCCACAGATAGCAGCACTGCTTGGAACGTAATACATAAAAAAGTCCAAACACGACTAAACACAAGCGCAAACTTACATAAAAACAAACGCGAACTTAAAAATCCGCAAAAAATCGCAGCACGCCCGAACTAAGGAGTGGCGGCAAAAACAGATTTCTATTGTGTTTACAGACCACGCTCAGCAAGTAGTAACGTTCACCGTCAAACACTAGACTCATACTGGCTGCTTTTGTTCGGCCAATTAATTCAAAAATTCCGCCGCGAGTGCCACCAACCGGAGCGGCGGATCTGCAAGCGGCGGTAATGACGTAATACTCAATATGTCCCCCAAGGGCTGACAGAGTTTCAATTCCCTAGTTTGAAAACGGGGACAACTGTAACACCATTTGCTTAACCTTACACAAGGACGTCTTAGGACGTCCTCCGCTATTTCTTAATAGGGCTGAGGACGTCTTAAGACGTCTTAAGCGGGCAATGTGTTAAATACTAGTAATTCAGGAGGGTTATGCGACATAGGCTTCGGGGCAATGGACACGGCCCTGGATTTATAAGTATTAAATTTAAGTAAATGGCAAAACTTACCATAAGTTAGTTTTCTTCAATCTTAGTCTTACTGGCCCCATCCTCCATCTCCTCTTCCTCTGACACCTCTCCCCTGTATCCTCCAGTGTCGGAGGATATTAATTACAACACCCCCATTTTACTGGTAGGCTTCAGCTCTGTACAGAAATATTGCAAAAAAATAGTGTTATACAAATAATTTTAGTCTAACAAATAATACAAGTGTGTACACTCCTTTCTATATTTGCGATATTCAAATAGGTACACAGCTAATAGGAAAATGTTTGAGCAAATCTGGGTCAAGTTAGTACAAAATATTAGAATTTGTAACAATAATTTGGTTTAGACAAAATAAATTGCTTCAAATATTAATTCATTGTTATTTCCCAATTTGCAAAAATGCAAGCTATAGCCTAATTATAAGTCATTTCCAAACAACATGTTTCGAGATGTAATCCAAATAAATTTTAAGTAGGGGCCTGGATTTAAATTGTTATAAAAAACTATAAATTTGCATACAGATTATATATTATCCTCATGTTCCACCAAAAACTATAGTAACTAGTGGGCGAAGTGGCACTTTGCTACACATGAGAGAAATGTTTAAACGCACGAGCCGTAGGCGAGTGTGGAAAGTATCTCGAGTGCAGCAAAGGCAGTTTGCACTTGTGTTAGAAATTATATTTTTCTTACAGTTATTATAAAACATATAAATAATTAGTCTTTCAAACTCTGTTCAACACGTTTATAGGTTAGGTTAAATCCAAACATTGGTGAAATGGTAAGCTGTACCAGTTGATCGTAGTCGTAATATCTTGAATGGGTAGCCAACTTATTTTCAAGTGTACGTATGTATTATACGTGTCTAATAAAACCACGCTGTTTTGTGTCGTTTGGTTGGAATACAGGAGTGCGGCAAAAAAAGAACGCGGTAAAAGTAAGTAAATGCAGCAATTAGCAACTTTCTGTGCTATAATAAGTGCAAGGAAGGCCACTTTGTCAGGTGACAGTTGAAAAAATTATTCACATGCGCTTCATTTTGAAAACTTTGAATGACTGACTTAAACAACCTTTTTATTATTACTGTTATCATGTTAAAATGTGTAATTTTGCACACAGGCCGCCTAGTTATTAGTTTATAACGAATGTGATAACTGTATACACACATTTTTTGTCCTAGGACGCTACAGGCACTAGTCCGGAATTTTAATTCACATTTCACACTTCAGCCTAGGTCTAGGGCTGTGGTGTTCACAAAAAAATAATAATAAAAATAATAAATAAAATCCATTGGTCATCTGGCAGGATTTGAGCCCGGTACTGAAGTTCTGCTCGCTCCCCTAGGGTAAAGAATTTAGTCAATTGTAGGCATTAGGCAGGCCTATAAAATACGTAGAGGAGGCTATGACTTAGAGCATTGGAACGCCGATAAATATGATCAGCCATTAATATTAATCGGGGCCAATTGATGTGACGTCAATAGGCCTATGAGCAAAGACAGAATCATATTTATTAAATAAAGTTGTCACTTCCAATTGCTTGGTGTTGAAAACAATCAGCTGTAGGCTTAAATTACTTCACCCACAGTTCATTCCACTTGTTAATGTAATCCACTCTACCTTGACTATTCAAACATTTTGAGCGGTGATTTATTCCGTTTCAGTAGGCTAATATTCATCTGCAGTGAAAAATAGTGGTCTTTGGATTCAGTACGTAAAAATCTACGCAGAGGATACGGGTCCGGCAACCGGACTTTAACTGTCATAACCTAACCTAACCAACCAAACTTGCTGATAATGAAAAAAATCGAATGAAGGTTAAATTCTGTCCATAAAATAAATTTATAAACGCAAAAAATTCAAACAAAAGATATTGTACAGTTAAGAATAAACCCACCCAAATATGGACAGTAGGCCTAGGACATAAAAATGTTCTTTCCATGATAGATAACCCAACCTAACATAACTTAACCGCCGCAAAGCGCTGTACATCTGTACAGCGCTCCTCCAATAATACTCCTCCAAACACAAGCCTACACAACAAACACAAGTCCTTTGGTGAGCCTCCGGATAATACTTACCAAAATACCGATTTGGACTTTGAATTACTTAGTTAACAAACAGCCTAGAATCTATCCCAAAGGGGAAAGAATATTGACTCACCTCACTTAAGTTATGGTTAGACCAAGGAACATTATCACAGCAGTATGGTAATTGCCTCCAGGGTACACAACTCTGGTCTCTCTTTCTCTCTCATCTGCAGTGATATCGATGGCAATGTCGTCCAGAACAGTTAGTCCTCTTAACTTATTGGTTCAAGACAATATTTAAAACAGAGACCAATTTGGGTTCAGGTTAAATTACAGCCTTTGCTCCAGGATCATCTATAAAACTAACAATGAAGTCATCAGCAATGAATGAATATAATCCAAGTCTAGTCTTACACCAAATACAAACAGCTCTAGAATATTTGACAGCACTTAAGTTTACGTCCTACACTCATTCCAATGAATGTATTTCTTTAATAGGCCTACTTTCTTTCTTATTACTTGGCGACCATACAAAGTAGGTATTTTAAGCCAAGTATGAATGGAGATGAGTGTAGGATGAGTGGAGCGATCTTGTAGTCTTGTTAGTGACTAAGACTGACATTCCTTAGACACAGCTGTTAATTAATAGCCCAAACAGCTAATGGCAACTAAGGGACATACAGTTTATAGTGGAATCCGAACCACATTAAGTTATTGCCTTGGTATAGGCCTATAAGTACGAATTGGTCTAATTATCAGGATAGTACTGGGGAGAGTCGTAGTAAGTACTCACTCGTGCGGACGTTAATCCACACCAGGGAGTGTCGAATCCACAGTGCATGCCTATAAATATCCACAATTCGTGACCTCCTAGTAGCTGGATTACAGGACGACGCCACCCGTCCCAGTCATGTTGATTATTTCATTTGATAAACTTAGGCCTAGGCCTATATCAAGTTTGGTTAGTTAGGGTAAAACCTAACCTAACTAAAGGAATGAAATATTCAAAATACGGGTAGAGTTTGTTAGCTGGGCTATGCTAATAAGTAGGCCTATAGATTGAAACTATCGATTCGATTAGTAAACCTTCATGCGATATAAGTGCAGCCAAATATTTTTACATAACTTAAACAAATTCTTAAAGTTGACACTGGGTCAGTGGGAAAGAGACGGGTACAGTTTCTTAACTGGGCTATGCTAATATCGATTGAAACTATCGAATTGAAAATAGAGATTGATTAATAATCGATATTTGTTAATATATTTATTATCAAATTAAACTATCTTAACCTAACCAACCAAACTTGCTGATGGTGAAAAAATCGCATGAAGGTTTTACCCCTAGGGGGTACAGTTTCTTAACTGGGCTACGCTAATATTGATTGAAACTATCGATTCGATTAGTAAACCTTCATGCGATTTTTTCACCATCAGCAAGTTTGGTTGGTTAGGTTAAGATAGTTTAATTTGATAATAAATATATTAACAAATATCGATTATTAATCAATCTCTATTTTCAATTCGATAGTTTCAATCGATATTAGCATAGCCCAGTTAAGAAACTGTACCCAAAGAGGCTATCCTATAGCCTAGGGAGAGTACAGTTTCTTAACTGGGCTACGCTAATATTGATTGAAACTATCGAATTGAAAATATTGATTAATAATCGACATTTAAAAATATATCTATTATAAAATTAATCTATCATAACCTAACCTAACCAACCAAACTTGCTGATGGTGAAAAAATCGCATGAAGGTTTACTAATCGAATCGATAGTTTCAATCAATATTAGCGTAGCCCAGTTAAGAAACTGTACCCCCTAGGGGTAAATGCCTATTCAAACATTTGCTACAATATTGCTTGATGATCCAGAATTAGCCTACGAAAAAGCTGTATCTTAGGTTCTTGTTGGTGACTTACCTAAGTTAGTGTCTGGTAGGACTAATGTTATTAAGTTATCATGTTGATTAAGTTTTTTATCCTATAAAAATTAACTTATTTCACATTATTCCTTAAAAACTATAGTTTGTAACACTCGAGTCATCTATTTTCTTGTAAACAAGGAAAGAAATAAACAAGATAAATATTTACAACATAAAAGTTCTTAGTCAATAAAATGTAGAAATGTCCGTCGGAAATCGGAATTCGGAATCAAATATTGCGACTCGTGAGTTGAGGAACTGAACGATGAATTAGAACAACTCCTTACTCCTTTTCAAGAGTAGCTCCGAAGAACGGGTGCTTGTCGATATACTGGGACTATTTCAGTGTCGACAAAATGAAACTATTTCATTGTCGACAATATGGGATGTCGACAATTTGTGGTGTCGATCATTTGCGACGTCGGTTATTTGGGATGTCGGTTAAGTGGGAATATTCCAGTGTCGACAAACTGGGAATAATTCAGTTTCGATCAATTTCTACGGTTGTCGATATTATGGAACCCACCCACACACACACACACACACATGAATTTGAACGGATGGTGGTTTTGGCCTCTAGGGACCTCAAAACGAAAAAAAATCGGTCCCGCGTCCAGGTCTTACCATGAGTACTACGGTAATAGCTTATTCCCTATATGGGAAATTCACTAAAAGGTGAATATCTTGGTAGGTAATGCGTTTGTTTTGGGAAACGTGTTATTCTAGGTTATCTCTTTATCCATGCCTATCCCTACAGGTTGTTGTTGGCCTACTTGCCCTAACTCTGTGTAGAGAAGTAAAAACTAAAAACTGACAAATTAATGAGAAGAGCTTTAAAATAAGAAGCTAAAGATTCTTGCGCATACCATTTTTATGGTTAAAACGTGCCGATTGTAGTTTTGTTTACACTACTTTCATTGCTGTACACATGTTAAGTTACATTATGTTTACTTGACGAATGTGTTCAGTTGGTCACAGTGGTGAAGATTGTTTACTTTTTGACACGCTTCACGTCTGCTATGTTTTGGATCTGCCATCTGTATTCTGTCTGGTCTGTCTGTGTGGCTTTCACGATAATTTTGAGGTTATGCTTTTTAAACAAGTATTAATTGTTTTAAAATAATAATGGAAACATAATCTCCGAAGATTTTTTTAAAATTTTTTGATTATATCTAACGTAAAGAGTTATGATGATTGTATAAATAAACTTTGCTCATAGGCCTACGTTGTTGCTTTTTCAATGGATATTAGAATCGGAATTGATAATGACTCTAAACCAAATAAAAATACTCTCCGAAAGGATAATAACCAGGCAATACGTGTCCTGTACTACGATATTAGCAAATATAGTAATACAAATCAGTTTTTTATCTGCTGTGCTGGTGTGTTCGCATTTTACCTGATCTATGGTTACTTGCAGGTAAGTGAATAATCTTGCAGTTGGGTATTTTTAGGGTTTTAAGGTTGCTTCTCTTTGGTTAAGTTTATAACCTGACCTTGTTACCATGGTTGTAGTCTAGCCTTGGTAACAAATACCATAAAACTCTAAGCTAAGCTAAAACTGGAAATGTTGACAGTGGGCAAAGGAGAGGAAATAGTTTCGTGATGAGGTAAAGGGCTCGCTCACAATAGAAACGAGGGTTAGTAAAGCCACGTTTACACCAAAGTCTTCCACTTAGTTTTCCACTAGTTGCGGCAATTAGTTGCATTTTCTACAAAATACAGCCACTTTTTCTGTTGTCCACTAGTTGGGACAAGTTTTAAGACAAGTTTTCCACTAAATTTTGGTTTCTCGCGTAATGTCGGTAAAGATCAAAGAAAGTTGACAACAAAAAGTGGAAGACTAGTTGCTTACACTTATTGCGCAAACAACTGATTGGGTAGGGCCTATCTACTTATTTTACAAAGACGTCTATTTGTATTCGTATCCTCTTTTTTCATGAGTTTCATTAACAAAACTGCTCGAGCTAAACCAACGTAGATCATAGTGCTATGTGGGGCGGTAGGTCCTAACTTACTCTACTTGAAAAGCCCCATAGTTTGAAATTAATTTTGAAATTCATATCAATCGAAATATTTTAATTTGTATTAAGCCGCGTTTACACCAAAGTTGACAACCAGGTTTTCGACTAGTTTCGGAAACTTGTTGCTTTTTCTATAAAATGCAGCGACTTTTTCTGTCGTCAACTAGTGGAGCAACAAGTTTACCACTAAATTTTGGTTTCCCGTGGAGAGTCGGTAAAGATCAAAGAAAGTTGGCAACAAAAAGTTGAAGACTAGTTGCCACGCTACGCGCTTTGCGCAAGCAACTTGTTGAAAACTAGTGGAGAACTATTCCCCCTTCCATATTGTACACATATTGAAATGTGTATTATTGAATTATTTTAATTATTATAATAGGGTAAATTACAGCACTCAAGTCTGTTATAAATAAACATTTAAAAATAAACGTGAATGTTGAGTGTAAGTTGGCTAGGCTATCTTTCTATTTAAATATCTTAATTAGGCCTAATAACTCTGGATGTGTTCAAAGCTACAGACCACACCTGTGGTCCGATTTTCATTAAATTTTGTATGTAGGTAGGGTACTAATCCATAATATCTCCAGGTATTTTAGATTTTTTTTGAAATGTAGATTTTTAATGATGGGTTTCTCATAAAAAGCGGAAAATTTGATTTTTTCGGAAATGGCCGAAACGACTTTAATAAAGATTTATTATGTTGTAGCCACCCTTTAAATTCTCAACAAAATAGTATAAAATAGTAACTCCCATTCCTGTAAAATTACGGTTCAAAAGTGATTGTAGGCTAACTTATGTCATTTTCCCATAAGACCCCATAAAAAACCAAAAATGTACTATAGTTCGGCCGCTTAGAAAGCGACCTCCTCCAACATTGGTTTAGCATTAGCGCGCAGGTCGTTTTCTAAGCGGCCGAACTATAATAAAAAACAGTTTTTGATTGAATTACTACCTTTGAGGTCCTTATAGTTCTAAACAATATAGTGCAGCCCCTCCCCCCCCCCCCCCACTATTGCTGCAGCCTGAATGCTGTAAAAGTTACAATTCCAAAGTTAATGCGACTTTTGTATTTTTAATAAATATCATAGTTACATAGTTACTAAATAGGCTACCTATTAAATATCATTATTACTCTAATCACTTATCCATGATAATGGTTGTTGACAAGCTAATGGGAAATAGTACTGTAACTTATGTGTCAGATTGCTGATTCAATAATGTAACTAAAGTAAACATTATTTTCTGTTTAGGAATGATTGCGTCTTCTTCGTCCGACGACATCCTTGACAATAATGTGTAACTGTACTGATCATTTTGCGCCTATTCTTTGGCAACAAGTTTTCCACTAGTTGCTCTAAATTAGTGAGGAGCAACATTTAGTTGTAAACTTTTAGTTGTCAACTTTTGGTTGTCAACTTTGGTGTAAACGCAGCTTTACAGTAGGTACTGCAGCATCGAATTAATATTTCATCATAGGTTCTCTGAGGATCTGTCCCAAGTCCACTAGGCCTACCTCATTTTTGTATCCGAACATGAAGAAGCTATTTTCTTATAAATGTTTGTAGTTTTCAAGAAATAGTGTTAAAACTGTGGGGACATTGAAGGTAAGGTTAGTCTTATATTAACTTATCACAACAGTTCAGAAGGCAATCATAATAAAAAATACCCCCGCCGCAGCAAACCTGCCGACTAAGCGAATTTCCATTTGTCTGAATTGATTTTCAGTTAAATAAATTTTAATAACATTAGGTTTAACGAGTACCTAGGTTTGCTGCTACAAGGAAACTAATAAAGTGTGTTTTTGAGTAAAATATTGATAGCTTAGTACAAAATAAATAAATTTGCCAAGTTTGATCAAAATATATCCATAAACAAGCAAACTACAACATTTGACAATATTCTCCATAAGAATAACATGGGAATTTTAAATTTACAATTTTTTTAACTTTCTCCGTTACTAATAATTGAACAAAAATACTTTTACATACTAAATTATTTGTTTTTTTAAGCTCTTTAAAAAGGTCTAAAGAGAAATCGGGAAATTTTGTGTTTTGAGGGTCAAAAGTGAGAAAAACCAATTTTTACCCCATAAAACCCCCCGTAAAGCCCTGTTCCCATGGTCCGATCGTGCTGGTTCGCGAACTCATTCAAGTTTATCCCGCTTTACACCTTTAAACCAAATTTCATCAAAATCGGACAAAAATTACTCAAGTTATCGCGTTCACGGACGTATATATATATATATATATATATATATATATATGTCTATATATATATATATACATATATAAAAATTTGAACGAATGGTGTTTTTGGCCTCTGGGGACATCAAAATGAAAAAGTAAATCGGTCCCGGGTCTAGGTCTTACCGTGCCACCTACGGTAATAGCTACTTCCCTATAGGGAAATTCGCTAAAAACCAAATAACTTAGGTCTATAATTTTAATCGACATTTAAAATACTCGTTTTCTTGTCTACTAATAATAGTTTGAACTTTTTGTTTTACAGGAGCTCATTTTTACTCTAGAAGGCTTCAAACCATATGGGTGGTACCTAACCTTAGTCCAGTTTGCATTTTATACGATATTTGGATTCGCTGAGAGTAATCTCAATGGTGACACAACAAGGCAGTAAGTATAGAATATTTTTTCATAATTTAAAGAGTTATTAATTTGTCAATGTAATAGGCTTATCATAATTATTTTGAATTTAAAGCTATGCTAACTAGCTAAGTTTATCTTTAACTTAAACCTGTTATACAGTGTGGCGCAGATGGATCGGGTGGTTTTAAAATACTTGTCATACTTTCAATTTAAAAGGTATTGGATTGAAATAAAGTGTAAAATGTGTAGTTACAATGGAATTTTATCAACAAAAAATTAGTAAAGTTAGTTTTTAAAAATTACATCCATCAAATGCCCTCCTTCTCCAGAGACGCATTCTTGGAGTCGGTACTTAACGTTCCGCATTGCCCGCTCAAGCACATCACCAGGAATTGATGTGGTTTCGTTGTGAATTGATGCCTTCAACTCCTAAATGGTCCGGGGTTTGTTTATGTAGACCCTTGTTTTTAAATTTTAATAGCCCCATAAGAAAAAGTCACATACCGTGAGGTCCGGTGAGCAAGGGGGAAAATGGAAATCTCCATTACGGGAAATCAAACGGCCAGGGAACAGAGCGTGTATAGCTTGCATTGATATTCTAGCGGTATGTGTAGTTGCTCCGTCTTGTTGGAACCACATATTGTCCATGTCGTAATTGTTCTCTTCAAGCTGTGGAAGAAGAAATTCTTTTATAATGTTCACATAACACTGCAAATTAACAGTAACCGCCTGCTTCTTTTCATTTTCAAAAAAGTGAGGCCCAATTAGGCCCTATCCCTAATTTAGAAACCCCACAGTAAAAACCGTCACTTTGTCACTATGGAGAGACCGTTGGTGTAGTTCTCTTGGGTTAGTGTCGCCCAGCAACGTCAATTTTGCTTGTTGAAGTAGTTGTTAATGTGAAAGTGAGCCTCATAAGACATCATGATAATAAGGTTTTATCCAACATCCATTGGCTATACTGAAGCCTTAGAAGATGGTCTGTTGGGAGAATCTGCTGCACCACCATGAGTTTATAGGGGTGCAATTTCAGTTCTTTGTTAAGAATCCTTCCCAAGAGCTTGAGCACGATGTCTCGTTGATATCGACAGGGGGCTCGTAATGACATCGCGTCTCACACGCTCCACGTTCTCAGGCGTTCTTATTGTTCGAGGTGTAGGCGTCCATTTTGCAGCACTTATGAACTATTAGTGCGTAAATTATGCACCCAGCTCAATATCTTATCTCGCTTAGGAACACTACCCCGAGGTGGGATGTTGAAAGGCACGCGTCACAGCAACAATTGACTCGTTATAAACTCTTCCACTGCGAAAACACGATGCTCAACGGACCACGTAGCCATTGAGACTGAATGCCCACAACTGAAACTTCCCTTTATGGTATTTTAATTTATAACACATTTTTCACTTTTCCTCTAACAGTTACGATCCACTTTAGCCATTTTTTTAGCTATTGTTATATAAAAGCAACATAAGGTATGTTCTGTAATCTAAACTAGCCTATTCAATCGTTCGAACTACTCTTGATCTGAATTAGTTCGGATTAGAGCTAGTTTTTTTGGTAATGCAATTTTACAGCTTTAAAAAATAAACGTAAACCCATGAACAAACATTATTTACTCGAAGTAAAATAGTTAGGCCTACAGTAATATTTTCAATTTTAAAATAATTAGTTAACTTTATTTTACAGTAAGCCTAATTCAAAATAGTATGCCTATTACCTAATAAACTTTATTTTTGCACAATGTTTATGTTTACTAAATTTTGTAGAATCAGGCTACATTCCCCCGTTTTGGAGCATGATAATTCATATGATATTACAAACTTACAAGGTATATTCGTATGTTTCAGCATTCCAATGAAGAACTACATGCTGTTGGCGTTACTTACTTTGGGTACAATGGGATTTTCAAATTCATCCTTGGGTTATTTGAACTACCCTACTCAGGTAATTTGGATTTCTTAGTTTTCTTCCTGATTTTCAATTTCATTGTTAGTCATTAACAGTACGATACTTTTACCAAATATTAAGGGGTTTCTACCTAGCAGCCTGAATTTCAATTCAAGATGGCTGATTATATGGATTGAAATATAATTCGGGATTGAACATGCCTCTATTGTAAAAGCTCTCAACATTCTAAAAGTAATTTGTTTCCAATGATTGTGTGCTCTTAACATATCAGAGCTTGCATTGGATGGAGAAGAATTAATTTTTAATTATTGTTTAGAAAGAAGTTAAAATCACATGTGAAAAAGACTAATTTACAGATTATAAAATCACCCCAATGAAACAATTAATTATGAAGTTTCAGTCCATCCTGTGCATAGTTTATGTTTGTGAATATTTTACAGTTTATTTCAACTCGATCACTTTAATAATGGCACAAGGTTCTTTTTTGTGGCCGTGTTTACGCAGTTACCAGACGGCGAGTGGTTCCCTATTAACTCCTAAAATGTGTTCAGTCTTAAATCCATTGTAACAACAAGTGTTCCTGTTTTTCACCCACCTCGGAAAACATTCATATCAGAAAATTTTCAGTATTATGTAAAAACAGTACATTGAATAGTCCTACTAATGAATTATTCTTGTACGGGGTGGCCGATAAGTCCCTTTTTACACAATATTGCAGTACGTAGCACACTGTTGTTATGAAAACGACAGATCAGCAAATATTTGTACGAATCATACGTGAGAAGTAAGGAAACAGTGGGGGAAGAATGTGAAGAATTCTCCCTTTCCCTAACACACTAGAACATTTATTAAATTTATCTTTAGTGTAAAGGGACTTTTCGCCACCCTGTAGTTTATACAAATCTTATAAAAATGATTTAGGCCTAGTACAAACCATAATTTGTTCAGTCTTACAAAGTAATAATATTTCATTTCAATTTAAAATCAAATCTGTTTTAAACTGAGAATTTGTGACATGATACTGTTCAGTTTTTTTGTACACTTAGCTTGTATAGCAATGGTTGACCATTTCAGAATGATTTCACGATATTTAAGAGACCGCACCAATGCTTTGGATTGCTTCAACGGATATGAAATATCAGCCAATGCTTTATTTCCAAAAGATCGAGTCTATTTCGAGGGTTAAAGCCTACATTTTAGTTGAATACCTCATACCTTATATAATTGAAGTTCAGTATTTGCTATTTTGTATTTGTTGATATATTACTACTGGAAAATAGCTCAAGTTGATTATTGTTAATGGAAACTCAATCGCGGGTGACTGACATCCATCCGAGACCATTCAAACCATCTGGCGTCTAAACAAATGTAGGCCGAAGTAGAGCGAATCTGTTGTATGGAAAATACCTGATATTTGCTTTACAACTATTTTACTAATTTCCAGGTAATCTTCAAATGCTGCAAGTTGATCCCGTGTCTGATCGGGTCCATTATCATCCAGCAGAAGAAATATGGCATGCTGGACTATCTCGCTGCCGCCTCCCTCAGTTTTGGCCTTACGCTCTTCACTCTAGCTGACAGCAAGCTCTCGCCCAACTTTAATATCATTGGTTTGTTCCAAGTTCGTACATAGCTTCTTCATGTTTTTCTGCTTACTGCTTTTGAATCTAGACTAGTCCAGTATTTTGTCACAGAAAATGTGTGTTTTTTTTAGCTTAGTTCAAAATCTAGGTCTTGTTCTTAATATCAACCTATCATTGAAAAACAATACTAACTGATATGCCAGTTTTGAATTAATTCATAAATTTGGTAAATAATCATGCTTTTGTAAAAATATTCTTATTGTTTCATGGCGTTGGCTCTGTTGCTTGCATTGGTGCTTTTTAAAATTTAACTCTAACTTTGACAATTTGTTCTGGAACAGACGCCTGGTGTATTGATGTGTAACCAAAGAGTGAAATATGCTTTCTTTAAGTTTTGTCAATGGTGAACATCTTAAGTAGTCACAGCAAAGAGAGTTTGAAGTTTTATAATGATAGAACTTCTTCTGCGATCCCCACCAAATAATTAACATCGTCCACCTTTGCAGGATCATCATCCCCATCTTCTGTACCCGTGGTAAAATTCTAAACACCTCCTGCGGTCATTCAGTCTTCGCAGGTTCTTTCTGCGATTGTGATAACATTGGGAATTAAATTTATAGCCACATTGGGAAAAAACAGCCCTAGTGTTAACTTCCTCTTGCTTAGTATTCAATTGTAAACCGATTTCGATTAAATGAACCGAATTTGATGAATGAGTAGGCCTAAATATGTATGTAAATATTTATGTTACAGTAGAACCCCATTTAACCATAAAGGGGGGAGAGCCGTTTTGGATAACCAATATTTCGGTTAAGCCGTCATATGCAAAAAAATAGTCTAATTGAATTAATTTATATGTGTAACCACGGTGTGTAAGAATAATGAATTGCGTTTTATTTCAGTTCAAGTTACAATGGTTGAGAAAATAACTAGGCCTAAAACTAAACAACTGAAAATATAGCCTATTTCATCCCTGTATTATTTTACTAAACTTTTGGTTAACCTGAATTCAGTTAACCGGGTTTCTACTGTACCTACTTACAAAAAACACTATTCTCCTTCCATGTAGCAGTAAACCTAGGTAGGTACTTTTCAAACCTAAAGTTTTTTTTAAATATGGAATAAACTGACATGTTTGTTTAAATAAGAAAAAGTTTAGTCCAAATCCAATCAGACCAATTGAAATTCTCTTAGCTTGCTGGTTTGCTGCGGTGGGGGTATTTTATTCATGTTCTTGCCACAAGATAAATAATCATCCCTAATTTTGCTTGAATTATAAACTTTTTGTCGCTTACTAGCTAAAATACCACATTATTAAATTTCTTATCTAGAAATTACTGCCATCCCCATCAACAACTTCTGATCTAACCTCAAGACCTGTTGCAGGTGTGGGGATGATCTCCTGTGCCTTGGTGTGTGATGCAGTCATTGGGAACGTCCAGGAGAAGTCTATGAAGACCCACGGAGCTTCCAACACTGAGGTTGTTCTCTACTCGTACGCCATTGGCTTTGTCTACCTCCTGGCAGCCATGTTGGTATCTGGCACTCTCTGGGCTGGCTTCGCCTTCTGTGCCAGGGTAAAATAGATTTTACTTTATAGATTTACTTTATACAATTCATAATTGTTATATACTGGTTTAATGGTAATGATTGGATTTTTAGAAGGTCTTGACTTAGGGCTTTATGAGGGCATTAAAAAACTTAACTGAGAATATTTGTGACCTTTGCTTGAAAAAAATTGTTTTTAGACTAATTTAGTTTGATGGTTTATCAAACATCTGGCTCACTATTTACTGTAGATACACTACCGTTTAGATTGTCTTTATCTGGCAGACCCTTGAAGGTTTGGTGAACTTAAGATGGTCCAGTGGACTTTGAAATGTGCTATGGACTTTGGATTGTCCAGTAGACTGCTGAAAATCTGTAGAATACTAGTTGATTTCTACATATGATCGAGTAGACATCCGTCAGCCCAATGAACTTCCAATGGCCCAGGTTAGCCTTCAGATGATCCAGTAGACTTCAGTCAGTCCAGTGAACTTCCAATGGTCCAATAAACTTCAAATGATCTCATAGACTTCAGTCAGTCCAATGAACTTCCAATGGTCCAGTATAGCCTTCAAATGACCCCGTGGACTTAAGTCAGTCCAGTGAACTTATAATGGCCCACTGTAGCCCTCAGATGATCCCGTAGACTTCAGTCAGTCCGGTGAACTTCCAATGGTCCATTAAACTTCAAATGATCCCGTAGACTTAAGTCAGTCCAGTGAACTTATAATGGTCCAGTATAACCTTCAGATGATCCCGTGGACTTTAGTCAGTCCAGTGAACTTATAATGGTCCAGTACAACCTTCAGATGATCCCATAGACTATAGTCAGTCCAGTGAACTTCCAATGGTCCAGTGTAGCCTTCAGTCCAGTGGGCTCTGGAATGATCAATGTACTGTAAATGTTCCGACATACTTCAGATAGCCAGAGTGATTACCTACACATGTCTCACGCAACATGGTTTCATTTGTTACTCTTTTTGAAAAAAACTAGTTATGACCTATTTATTCCAATGAATTATTAAATTTTTGCAATGTTCCTTTACTGATCAGTGATTTAGTTAACTAATTTTGCACATCTGTTGACAGCACCCAGTGGTCTACCTCTATGCTATGCTGTTCTCAGTGACAGGATACCTAGGTATACAGATAGTGCTGACTCTCGTACAGACGTGTGGTGCTTTAGTAGCAGTCACTGTGACCACATGTCGCAAAGCTGTCACTATCATTCTATCATTCCTGTTCTTCGCCAAACCATTTACATTCCAGTAAGTAGATAATACATTCCTTTTTATGAATATTTTGAGTGTTTATTGTTGCAGAAAGGTGCTTCAGGTTAGTTTACCATTTGCAGTGATAAAAATGTGATTTTGATCAAATCTGCTTTTCCGGATTTCAATGATTCCGGACTCATTTCATTATCGTTAGAAAGTACTATGGAAAAGTAATCACAGAACTAGATTCATGCTTCATCATTTGACCTTTCTCCCGACCTGGATGAAGGGGGCTTTACCATGTGTCCTCTAAAAGAACACACTAGATTTTTCATAGTCAACAGGGACTTTTTAAAGAAAGTGTTTATATTGACAACCCTACTGGGTAAAAGTATTTAAACACCTTTGTTGTAAAATATCTTTCATTGCTGTCTGAATTTCTACAAAGATTTACGTTTCAGAATTATCTAATAATAACTGGATGTTTTCTAGGTATGTCTGGTCGGGCTTACTTATTCTACTTGGCATTTACCTCAATGTCCTCAGTAAAAACAAAAGTTTGACGCACAACCTGTCTAGAGAACTCTGGCGTTTAATTGGACGCTTCCGCCGAGACAGAAGAACATTACTTACATCCTCTGTCTAAGACTTCTGTGATAGACTGTTATTTAATTATAGATTTATTCCTATTAAGTTTAAGTCTTGAATAGAAAGTTTGAATTTACAGTTTTCAATCTATGACTAAAGAAATTTAGAAGCTGTAAATAACAAGAACAATTATTTTATCTACTTCTTTTATCTATTTGTTGTAAAATAATTTGTTTGCTATGAATTATTTTAGTTTCAATGGTGTAAATGCAGACCGAGAACATTACAAAACTTCTAAAGAATAACAAGATCAATTATGTTACCAACTGTACTTATTTGATTTGTTTTTGATTTTGACAATGAATGTTGGTTTTACTAGTTTCATACTAAATACCGGTGCTTTACAAACTGCTATAAGTAGTAGGATCAATTATTCCCTACTTAGTTTGTCTATTATTAAATGTTTGCAATAAATCTAGTTAGGCACTAGTTTACCCACACTAAATACTCTATAAGAATTCTGTAAATAGCCAGATCAATTCTTTATGTTATCTAGATTTATTTCCCGCATCAAATTTTACTTTTACTAGATTATACACAAAGTTGCCTTTTGCTATTTTATTGGTACACACTTTATAGTTTTCAACTACTCCATATAACTGTTTATGGGTATTAAGCTATAAAAAATAAGGCTAAAGTAGTCTAATCTTTGTATATAGTGAAACACTGTAGTTAGAAACCTGTACATACAGGTATAGTTACCTTCTAGAAAGTGTGTGTATTTAATATTGATAAGATTCTGAGTGAATTATTTCTGAATTATAATGGTGATTGTGGGGGAAAATGTATGGTAAAACCAATACTCTTTGAATTCTTGAAAGCGCGACTGATCAACAAGTTTTTTGTCATGTTACATGTAAATTATTATTAGTTCATAGTGACCAGCAAACAATTATGTATCTAATGGTCATGAGCAGGGCCGAACTTACCTAGGGGCGGACGGGGCGAGCGCCCGGGGCCCCCGGGCCTAGGGGGGCCCCGGAAGGGGCCCCTTGCACAGTAGTTGTTATTAATATCTTCGAAAATTAATCAGACACTTATCGAATGGCCTTCTTTTTTAACAGGTTTATTGTCATTATCCTATATTTAAGGTTACTGTTCCAAAATTCTTGACTCTAAGGGACTTTTCCTCAGGGTTGCACTGGGCCCCACGCTTTTAGACCAGGTCCGTGAAGTTGGCGTACCCATATTAGCGTATCCACTTTTGATCATACCAATCGTTAGTTCATCGTTAGTTCTCGATAGTTCCCAAATTTTTTCGTTAGTTCTCAAGAAATAAAAAAGTTATAGCCGATTACAAGTGGGTACGCTAACTTCACACTTCCGGGTTCTAGCACGCGCCGTTTTCTGATGAGAAATGTTTACATCTATATACCAATCGTTAGTTCTTCGTTAGTCCTCGATAGTTCCCAAATTTTTTCGTTAGTTCTCAAAAAATAAAAAAGTTATGAGGCATACAAAGTGGGTACGCTAACTTCACAATTGTACAATTTCCAGCGGGAACAGTTTTTTTTACTATAAATGCCTATATCTATATACCAATCGTTAGTTCTTCGTTAGTTCTCGATAGTTCTCCAAAATTAACGTTAGTTCTCAAAAAATGAAAAAGTTACGAAGCATAAAAAGTGGGTACGCCAACTTCACAGTTATAGAATTTCCAGCGGGCACAGTTTTTTGTTACTATAAATGACTATATCTATATACCAATCGTTAGTTCTTCGTTAGTTCTCGATAGTTCTCAACTATTAACGTTAGTTCTCAAAAAATAAAAAAGTTAAGAGGCATACAAAAGTGGGTACGCTAACTTCACAATTGTACAATTTCCAGCGGGAACAGTTTTTTTACTATAAATGCCTATATCTATATACCAATCGTTAGTTCTCGATAGTTCTCCAAAATTAACGTTAGTTCTCAAAAAATAAAAAAAGTTACGAAGCATAAAAAGTGGGTACGCCAACTTCACAGTTATTGAATTTCCAGCGGGCACAGTTTTTTTACTATAAATGACTATATCTATATACCAATCGTTAGTTCTGCGTTAGTTCTCGATAGTTCTCCAATATTAACGTTAGTTCTCAAAAAATAAAAAAGTTAAGAGGCATACAAAGTGGGTACGCTAACTTCACAATTGTACAATTTCCAGCGGGAACAGTTTTTTTACTATAAATGCCTATATCTATATACCAATCGTTAGTTCTTCGTTAGTTCTCGATAGTTCTCCAAAATTAACGTTAGTTCTCAAAAAATAAAAAAGTTACGAAGCATAAAAATTGGGTGATGGTGAGAACTAACGTAAATATTGGAGAACTATCGAGAACTAACGAAGAACTAACGATTGGTATATAGATATAGGCATTTATAGTAAAAAAACTGTGCCCGCTGGAAATTCTATAACTGTGAAGTTGGCGTACCCACTTTTTATGCTTCGTAACTTTTTTATTTTTTGAGAACTAACGTTAATTTTGGAGAACTATCGAGAACTAACGAAGAACTAACGATTGGTATATAGATATAGGCATTTATAGTAAAAAAACTGTTCCCGCTGGAAATTGTACAATTGTGAAGTTAGCGTACCCACTTTGTATGCCTCATAACTTTTTTATTTTTTGAGAACTAACGAAAAAATTTGGGAACTATCGAGGACTAACGAAGAACTAACGATTGGTATATAGATGTAAACATTTCTCCTCAGAAAACGGCGCGTGCTAGAACCCGGAAGTGTGAAGTTAGCGTACCCACTTATAATCGGCTATAACTTTTATATTTTTTGAGAACTAACGAAAAAATTTGGGAACTATCGAGAACTAACGATGAACTAACGATTGGTATGATCAAAAGTGGATACGCTAATATGGGTACGCCAACTTCACGGACCTTTTTAGACCTAGTTAACACGAGCATAGCTGCTAGGCTGTGACGGACCAGTTTGAGTTTCAATGAAGCCGTCCACACAAACGTACGGCCGCGGCGATCGAGTTGAAGGGGGCCCCTTCGCTTGGGGCAAAAAATACAATAAATAATATGAAGACTCTTGTCCTAACGTAGAATGTAACTTGTACAATTGTGTTGGGTTAAATGGAGATTCAATGGAGTTCTAATACTTTTGAAAAATAAAAACATTGCTCTGTTTATGTTTTATTAGATGTTATTCTTTTACCTCTAAGTATATGTCTATCACGATTTTAAGGGGCAGAAGTATTATATTAACCATTCAATTAAAAGGTTTAGTAAAATAGTAATTAAGTTATACGTCGAAATTTGGATCTTCAATTTAGTCTTTTGAGTCAAAATCATACAGCGCCAGTAGGATAAAAAAATCTATATAGACATTTTATGACAGCTAGGTTCGTCTGATGTTAACAAAAATTACATTATTTGGGAGCGGGCGAGCGTTGTCGACTGAAATCGTAAAAAAACAACAAGCAGCTGCAACAATAAATGATAATGAGCTGATAAGGGATCCTGTTTAGTCCTGTCTGTCTCACGCACGCACATACACATACATATACAATGCCTTATCGCCTATCCAAAACAATTTAAATCACTTTACTCCCAGTGTGTTTTTGGTTGACATTGTCATACTTTTGTGTTGTATTTTATTAATAATTCTGCAAACACTACAAAGAACAAATTAATGTTGTATTGAATGTTATGTTTGTGTTGTATTAATCTAAAATATTGAATACATTTAAACATCTTTCAGGTACAGTACTCATATAAAATGGTTAGCTTGTGATTGGTTATTAGACTTGTATTGCAACATTTTACTCGTCAAGAAAAAACTCAAACTCGTTAAAGTTCTTAATGGTACTTTTCATGCTAGGACTTTAACATGTTATACAAACGAGAATTCCATGCCAAAACCACTATGAAAATAAACATAAGTCATAGTTTATGGTTTTAGTGCAGTCAGGAAATGTAGGAAAAGGGGGTTTTAATTGCCATGCCAACGTGACCAACGTATCAGAGTGGGAAGTGACATTTATTTATAGGGAAAATAACTATGTTCTAAACCTTATAATGATTAATCTATAAAAAGTAAACTTTAAAATTGTTTTGACTTGTATCTTATAAACTTAGTAAAAGGTTTATAAGTAAAATTGTAGTAAATTCTAGCTGTTGTATCCGTGCTTTGCAACGGGAAGAGAACACGAAATAGAAACATTTTGATCTTACATCTGTTGATAAAATAGTTACAAATAAGCCTTTTAAAAACAAAATTTTACCTTTATGGCCTTAATAGGATAGCTGTTGTCATAAATGTAAAAAAATAATAGTACTGCACCCTGTTGGTAAACATTGTAGCTTTTTAATGCTATTCAATATCATATAACCAACTTGTGTAGTTGAAACAGCTGACAAAATTCTTTTATTCCTTTTAAATACGATTACTCATAAGGTTCACATGGGAAACTCCAGAGCCACTGGGGCGGATCCCGAAAGGACTTATAAGATAAGAATGCGTCTATATGTTAATCGGGAATGTGAGCTATCATCATACCAAATTTCAGCCCAATCCGACCAGTATTTTTCGCGTTTACTGGTCACAAACATACATCCATCCATCCATACATCCAAACTTTCTCATTTATAATATTAGTAGGATATTAAAGCTTTAAAAGTTTATGCATTATCTCTGACTTACATCACGTGTTTAAATATAACTTATTTCATTAATTAATGTTAGTTATTTTTTATTTGTGTTTTCATTCAAGCACCAATAGAATGTGTAGGCCTATTACAGTAAAAAAATTAAATTAAACCTTTTACAAGTACGTGTTATTTTATTTTTATTTTATCTATAGTTTTCATTATTTGTTGCAAAGTATATTAACATTTTAATGTATTGCAAAAAAATGTGTAAGGTACCTGCTAGGTATATTAAAATTTTATAAATACAATTACAACAAGAGCAAATCATAACATAACACCGTACATTGTAACTATTTTCAGACCTACAATATTACATAAAATTAGTTTATGCAAAATACAGCATACTATTCTAACAGGTTTACATATTAATTCACCTTGAAATTTCCTATTTAAAATTAGTGTGCATGTAATATGCGTTACATTGTGTACTGTATTTGTTCGTCTCGTATAATCATACTGGGGGCCCCATCGGCAAATTCGCCCGGGGCCTCTGAAGTCCTAAGTCCGGCCCTGGTCATGAGGTTAACTTGATATTAGTTTAAATTGATGACACAGAATGAGTTCTCTATTTTCAGTGAATTTCCGTAGGGAAGAAGTCATAAGTGGCATGTTTAGACCTAGGCTCTGTACCGATTTACTTTTTCATTTTTATGTCACTATTCGTACTATCCACTAATCAGCTGATTTTCACTATTCGCTCAAATCATAAATAAAGTTTTTTTTTACCGAATTTATATAAAGGTCCGCGATTTGCTTGTGTCACGCTATGGGCTTGAGAGATAATTGCGCCCTTCTTCCTTTTGGGGTATTTTTATTTTCCTTGCGCCCCTGTTGGTATTCCTTCATAGATTATTTCCTCGTCCAAATGAAGTTAAAAACACAAACAACATAGTGTGATAGATTGTCATCCCAATGTATAAATTATTTCTAACATACATGGTCCACTGTGTTAAATTAGTAACAGTAAAACAAAATTATTTACTACAGTAGATTAAATGGATGTCTATTTGTAAATGATCCAGCTGACCTTTATCATTAAGCTTTTACTAAATGGTCCTGGCTTAAAAACAGCTGTCTTAGTCCAAAAATATTAAAAAATACAAAAGGCATCTCACACTAATCTACAATCTTTCTTCAATTATGATATTTGGGTCAAAATATGCACAGTTCCATACCCATCTAAATTGGTAATATTAAAATTTTGATCATTTTGTTGTATATCGCAGGTAATTTAGCTAATCTGGTTTGTGTTTATTGTAGCAGCAAACCTTAATACTCATCGAACCAATGTCATTTATAATGGGCATGGAACCTGCAGTAAAGTTAATTTTTCTCTTTTGAATAAACTAAATAAGTCACTATAAATTCCCTTAGGCAGCAGGTTTTCTGCATCAAGGGTATTTATATATTATTATATAATCATATATTTTACACCATACTACACAGAAATAGGTACTTTTCCATCCGTATTGATAGGCTGGAAAGTTGCCCTTTGCTGTGCCTACACACGGAAAAGTAACGTAATGTACTATTACGCTACACTACACTGTTTTGACAAACTTCCCAGTTCCCACGCAAGGATTCAGTCCAGAAAACAGCTGTTTGTCGCAAGCTTAATCAAATGGGGTTTCATTACGTACTAATGGTACTACTGTACTGTAATGAGTTTTTACTGTACACCAACCAGCTGATTATATTTTGCAATTAGTGGTTATAAACAAAAACATAACTGTTGAGGTTATGAGCAGTGAGAGCAGTGATTGTTGGCCTTTTAGTCGGTGGGATAAGGATATGTACAGATTTTTATTGTTAAGTTAGAGTAGTATGACGTAAAATATGGTACGTCACTCATCCAAAATGTGTTTAACGGACTTGTATGGTAATCCCGCTTTCGACTTCGTCTTGCACGGGAACGACCACACTTGTCCGGTAAACACCTATTATCAGGACTAGTAATGTAATATAGGCTACTGTTACCGTGCACTTAGTCAGCTGATGCAATAAACAGCTAATTGCAACAGCCTATTTTATTTTCCGAAACATAAAAAAATACATATTATAATTTTTGTTATGTCCTAGAAATAAATTGTATTATGAGTTTAAAATTTATATGTACTAATCTTTCGGTGTAGTTTGATGTAAAGTATCATACGTTACTCGCCAAGGAAGCTTTACCATACTCGCACAAAAATCTGTCAAAAATATCACTTACCGGGCTAGTAACGTTATATACTATTACAGCAATTTATTGTGTATATTGTCAATGAGACTATTTGTGACAGTCATAAGTATTGAAACTTCTTCTTTGTTATGAAAATATAAATCATACAAAATGTTATATATTTCACAAGTAGTGTTTTACTCTATCCTGTCATTACATGTCCCTAACTACATCTAGCCAACCAAAAATAATGAACGAATGAACTTCTTACCCATTTGACTTCGCTACAAAAGGGAGTAGCCTAAATTACTGTAAGTTCAACAGTATGATTTTTTGTGCTTTTTCACAGTGACAATTTTTACCTCTTTACCTGAGTTATGAGCAGGATGATTTTTATAAAATGTAAAATGAGTTTTGTTGCAAAGCTGAATGTGTAATTATTATTTATTTTAATAAATATTTAAATAACCACATTATTCTTTTCTGCGTCCTCTACCTATTGCAAAGCACATGTAAAACAACTAGTCAATTATATAAAGATTACAAAGGATAGCTCGGTCCAGTTTAGAACAATGCATTGATTTTTCAGGGCAAAGGTGAATGTGTGCATTGTGAATGTATTTGGAGACGAGCTATTCCTGAAGAAGGGACCAAAATAGAATGCTGAATGTTCAACGATTACCCTCAACTTTGTCTAAATATATTAATAGTTAGGTTTCAATTAATTTAACAACAAATCTTCAAATAAAATTGCTATAGAGGAAAGTATACTACACTGTTAACATACTATCTCATAGTCTTTTCTAATTTAAATTCTTTCCCTTAATATATTTTGCTGTCTTCCTTAATTTCCTAAATTCAGCCCCACAAAGTTGGGAACTTAAATGTTGTTATGTTTTCCACTCGCTCTTGAACTCTTTTAGGTAAAACTCAAATAAATTTACCATTTGTAATGTTACTATAAATAAACGGTATCAGCAATATTACACATACTTTCTCCCATTAGCTTGTCAACAACCTTAATCATGGGGAAGCGGTGAGAGTAGTTGTGAGGTTTTAGACCATAACATTCTAAATTTTGATTAAAATCGTTCGGGCTGTTTTTGTAAAAAGATTTTCCGTTATTTAATGGGAAAATCAGGATTAAAAATCAAAATGTCAAAAAAATCCAGAAGAAACCTGGAGATATCACGGATTACTAAATCTAAATAACTACTAAAACAAAATTTCAACATTTTGTAATTAATATAGTTATTTTAAATGCTAACAGCATAACATTACTAACATTGTTTACATTGACCATCTATGGACCCATTCCTATATTTAACAAACTCCATACTGTATGTGAAAGGTGTGTAAAAAATACTTGCAAAAAGTTTGATATCGATATATCGGATGTTGGGTCTACTGACGCAAACCCCCCTAAATACCTCTTTTTGGGAGGGGCGAAAATTTAAATCTCGCCCCGGGCGTCATTACCCTCGGGGCGGCCCTGTGGATTAGTAGGCCTACCTTCTTACCGCAATGGATGTATTTAAAAACGGTTGTTTTTGCAGATGACAAAAATTATAATATTTTTACTCGTATGATGTTTGAATAGTAAGTTAAATTATTTAGTTGACATAAATTTGTGTTTTTTTACTAATCTCTATTCTCTTATAATGTCAATAATTTAGTAGACTAATTAATTAATTGTGTAGTAAAAGGAAGTAAAAATAACAACAATGTACAGTACTGACTTAAAAACTATCTCTACACATCATCAATGAGTCAGAAACTATCGTAATGTAAACAAACGCGATAGTGAGTATCACGTGGTCGCAACAATGGGCTGATTATGGACAGTAAACAGATGTTTGATTGTTATGTGATCAGCTGTTTGAGAGCTGGTTGGCGCGCAGCCGGCTCGCGCATGCGCCCTGTCGTCTGCTTGACGTCCTTGCTTTAACCTTGTGCTCTAGTACTAGTAGTGTTCGTAGTCTGTGTGTTGTGACTGTGCGCTTCTCTACGTTTCAGGTTTGTACAATTACTGACACGTTGTTTGAAAATTATCAATGAAAACCTTTGATAAATATTTTGTTATGCTGGATGGAGAAAAGTTATAGGGTATAAATTGGAAACTTTGAAAGGAATAGTTGTTTGTGACAATTTGTTTTAAATTTGAAAAGTAATAGTTAATTAATATATTATTCATCTATGGTTTTACTGCAACTGATTTTTTTTTTTGTAATTGGTAATATTATATAGTTCTTAAGTGGAAGTTTTGATCCAAAATGTGATGTTTTTATTGGTATTATGCACCAGATGGCTTTTGTCAACGGTCATAAATAAACTGTATTAGCATCAACTTTAGTTAGATAGTAAAGTAGACATCTCATATTTGATATAGCCAACTAGCTGTAGCCATTTTTTGTAGGTAATTCAAATAAAAGGTATGTAAATGAACCTATTAGGCCTACAAAGTAGACCTATGCTACTGTCAAAATTGTATTTTCTCCCTTGACTTTTGATAAGGTAAGTTACTATGATAACTTATATGACTCATTCGTTGCTATAATAATATTATTAAAATAAGTTTTCTTTTCGTTTTAGCTTGACTAAAAAGTTTGCGAAATTATAAACTCTTCGGTGCCTGAATCTGAATTCAACATAAATGTTTAATCAAAACGTGCTACAGCATTTTCATCATGGGAATAGAATGTCAGTTGTCTACCCTACCGATATCCTATCTATAGTCGAAAATGTAGTGCAGAGCATCAGCGAAATCTGTTCGGTAAAATAATTGTTTTTTACCACGTCGAAAAGTATATTATTGGTGTTTTTCAGACCTTAGACAATTAGAGATTTCAAGCAAAACACGGGATACACGTGACAAAAAGCTGCGTCGTTGACAATGGACACGAAAATATATAAATTGGCAGTCTGTCATCGGAGTAATTATTGAACCTCAAGTCCATATTGCTCCCAACTCCTAATGTTAAGTCCGGGTTTAAAATAACCTTCAATATTGCAGGAATATTCACCAAAAACATGAAATCATGCAAAAGAGAAGTGACCAGACTGAAGTCAAAGTTCAAAGAGTCTTGCCCTCAAGAGACAAGGAAGATGTCAAGGTACAAAACTGTCTGGCACTTAGTAGTCAAATGGCGTACAAAAGGATGATTAGGCTAATCAAAATGGGAGTATGTTTAATGACAGCAATTTATGTATCCTATTGTACAGATGTTTCCAATTGTCAGTGACATTTTCATTTCGTTGTTATATCACCATTTCCACCCCATTTATCAACTTCATATATCACCTATAGTATGTATGTTTTTGACTTTTGTATTTGTGTCAGTTGGTTTAAATGTATTTTTGTAAATTGAAATTCTGACGCCATCAATCCCTTTTGGGTAAAATATGAAGACACTCTAATAAGGCTGCACTTTGAATTAGTTCTATAAATAGACGAGTTCAATTTGTTTACTAGAGAGTTTGCAATTTATTTCTGGAGGGAAAAACGGAAGTGCGGCCAAACAGCAATGAAAGCAGGAATGCTTTGAATCTGGAGCCAAATCCGCGACTTGTTATATATAGCCAAGGAAGTAGGAGTTGTTGATATGTACCAAATATTTAACTGATAATTAATTAATCGTGGTACTAATACTAAACAGTTTTTCACAATTACTAACCAGCTGCTAATACTACTAAACATTTGTTTATAAACAATAAAGAGCTATACTCTACACTAAAACAAACAGTTCTCTTTTACTACCAAAGAGTTGCTAGTAACGCTAAGAGTTGCTAAAATACCTAACAGTTTTCCACTTAATTATTAACTACTTAATTATAAACTACTTAATATTAGAACAAATTATCATTGCTGAAAATTAACTTTCAATTTCTTGTAGACAAATCTTTATTTCTAAAAAGCTTATTCTTAAACTATTTTCACGTTTCAATCTTGTTTGAATCGGTCGTCAATCCTAAATACACATTTCTTCGCTGTAGCAGACTATTTTAGCAATGACACTACAAAACTCATTATTTATTAATTTAACTGTACAAATTCTCGTTTTCATTTTTTTCAGTTCCTAGTTACGGTCTTAGTGGAAAATAGTTTGAGTAAGTAGCAATGAATGGGTCGAGTATGTTGTGATAAAAATAGTACCCTAAGTAGGCGTTTAACCTTGCCTTGCTAATTATTTTGCGCTACCTTGAAGATATGTACTGCTCGAAGAGTGCTGTTTAAACAGTTTCCTCTCTTATGCGCTATTTTTTTAATCTATGCTATAACTTAATGGGTAACGGATTGTAGGACTGTATTTCCCCACCAACAAAACTCTGGTACAAACTTATGACAACGTCTTTCACAAGAAACATTTTAGTAAAAAAAAATTGTCTGTGAAAAAACGTATCTTTATGGAGTTTGAGGAGGATTGCCAATAAACCGTTTCAAATTTAAGGAAACCCAAAAAAGACCCATCAAAAATATTTATCGTTCAGTTGAAAACTACACTTTTTTATATAAAATAATTAATATTAGAGACAAAATAGTACACTAGTTGAAAATACAAAAATGCACCAATTGAATTAAGAAATAAATTAATTTTGCCAAGGGATAGGCCCTATATTATGTAGCCTATCACTTATATTTTTATCTGATACTCGTCAAGTACTGTAATACTTTTTGAACTGAATTTTGTTTTATTTGAGATCAGCCTTCATAACATTATTGTATTGGTAGTTCTCGTTTCAGTTATTAACCCGAGTGTTTATTGACAAAAAATAGACTCATCTGTTAACCTTTCACTACTTTCGAGTCTTTAAGGAAGGCGTAAACTGTCTTCAACCAACGGGCCAAAATTGGTTGGAAAGCTATACAAGGCATGACATAGCCATATATTAAACAGACTCCCTAGTAGATTTGTCATCCTTATGGATCAGCCAAAGACAATGTTATTGTTAGTTCCATCCGATGCATCTTAGGATCGTGTTTTTGTTTACAATTTTGTTGTTATTTCAGTTACATAAAACCTCGTTTAACCAAATAAAACGATGTTATGATTGACAATAACTCGTCCCCTGGTTATATAACCAAGCATTAAAGCAAAAATCATAAAATTAGCCCTAAAATAATGAAATTAACATTTCATCGATACTAGCACCCAGTGTCACTAACATGAACTAGACATTAAAAAAACAATCTTCAAATTTTACATCGGGATGAGAAGTCTTCTTGTGTTGGTTAGTCTATGACGCAATATTATTCACATACTCATTGGTCATCCATATCCATTTTAAAATATAACTTATATCATTTGACTTTAACTTGTACGAGATGGGGACACAATTAAAGAGTATTTTAACCCGAATATAAATGGCAGAAGAACGTTGGACAGTTAGATACCTTATTTCAGCCCGGATAATGTGTTTTTAGTCCACTAGAGTCAAGGTCATCTAGGTCAGACCTCGAACCAAAAAAAATTCTTTTCTCAGGATCGAACCAGAGGCATCCGGTAAGAAAGGCGAACACAGTAACCACTCAATGTATTATAACCCGCATCAAAAAGTGAAAACTCAAAGACAGTTGCTTAACATCCATGATTGTTAAAAGTCCATTCTTATCAGAAAAAGGAAAACTTATTGCAATTCGTTGGTTTATCTTCGCTCAAAAAACAGTTTATTGGGTACAAACTATTTGACTTTCGAATAGGTCAAATCATATTTTTGTCGATTATTTGAGTTTTTATTTGTATCAGGGTATATCAGACCTAAACACCAACACCACACGGGCGGGTTTTCAGTGATCTTCGCCTTTGCATCCAGGTAATAAAGTATTTCTTCATTATAATACACTTTTGTACTCACACTGTTTTAATTATTGACGAGCTAGTGTACCCGTGTTTAGGTCTTGAAATAGTTACACACGACATGTATTATTTACTTAAAAAAAGATTTATTTTATCACGCCATGTGGTATAATTATTTTCTTTAAATTCAAATACGGGGTTTAAATTCTCTGGGCAACCAAGCACAAAACACAATGCATTATTATTCATCTATTCCAACTATTCAACTGAACAGCTGTTTAGCCTAATTAAGCAATCAGAAAACTCACATCTTTGTTAGTATTGTATCATTTTTTATACCCTGTATTTTTACTTCTCTGCAACTGTAACTCTTCAAAGTTTACATTTGCTTTTCACATGCTATCTTAGACTATTGATAGAAAAAACTCTTTTAAGCTGTTCATAAACAAAATACAGCTGATTTGAAACAGTAAACCAGGGAGTTTAGTAAAACCATTGATTATCAATATTAAATTGTAAAACTAAAACATATTTACATTCTGGTTATACCACTGTTTAAAAACGACGTAACATTTTTTCTACATTAGTTTCAAAGGAATAATACTGAATAGTAAAGAAGAAAAAAACTTGATTTACAAGCTTAGGTAGATGTACGCAACTTTATGTCGCAACTGCGAAGAACTTGTATAGGTTATGTTTGTACTTGAAAACTCCTTTACGACTGCAATAAGCTTACCTAGAGATAACACCAGTAAATGCCTGATTATATAATTGTTTTGAGTCGGATTAAACGGCATTCCAATTCCAATTTCATTCCATCTTTTATTGCGACATATTGAGTAAAAGAGAATACATACGCAGTAGCATAGATTTAAGAATGGACCTACTGTTTGTTATCATCATATGTTACCATTGTTATTGTTTTCATAGGTTTATATTTAAGTTTTCTGATAACATGCATGCTGTTACCACATGGTCATTATGTATCCCCATTGTAAATTGGTGTTCTTGCCGTTGGGGTTGGAATAAATGATTAAAATAAAATACTGAGTGTCTACTCTTTAATATAATATGACAGCTGTTTGCACAACATATAATTATGGTTTATTTATTAATTGAGAGTATTAAAAAAAAAAAACAAGGAAATAATAAAAGGCATTAAAATCCTCACTAGACCTTAATATTTGCTAACGTGTGAATATTCAATATTAGAAATACAAA